CCAAAACCTGGTTCAATGACCGTGGGATTACTGTGCTTGAGTGGCCAGCAAACTCGCCTGACCTGAACCCCATAGAGAATCTATGGGACATTGCCAAGAGAAAGATGAGAGACATGAGACCGAACAATGCAGAAGAGTTGAAGGCCGCTACTGAAGCATCTTGGTCTTCCATAACACCTCAGCAGTGCCACAGGCTAATAGCTTCCATGCCACAGCGCATTGAGGCAGTAATTGCTGCAAAAGGGGCCCAAACCAAGTACTGAGTACATATGCATGCTTATACTTTTCAGAGGTCCGATATTGTTCTATGTACAAGCCTTGTTTTATTGATTGCTTGTAATATTCTAATTTTCTGAGATTGTGGATTTGGGGTTTTCATGAGCTGTAAGCCATAATCATCACAATTATGACAAATCATGGCTTGAACTATCTTGCTTTGCATGTAATGAGTCTATCTCATATATTAGTTTCACCTTTTAAGTTGCATTACTGAAATAAATGAACTTTTGCACGATATTCTAATTTTTCGAGTTTCACCTGTACACTATCAAAAATTATAGAAGGACTCAAACCGGGCAGCCCTTCAAACAATGTTTTCAAATAAAGGAATGTTCTGTCACTTGAAATATGTTCATTCTAATGCTCAAATTAGCTTATGAAACAGGGAGAATAGATATGTCTCACACATGCCAAGTTCGCTGAAGGGCTACAGAGAATAAGAATGAGGGTTTTTTTAAAAAAAAATTGTAATAGATTCTATACTCACTCTAATCTGAGAGGAGAAAAACAATTCTAAAAACAGCAAGGATATTTTGTTTCAAGAATGATCTGTATTATTGTGGTTACCATTTAAGCCAAAAAGCTTAATGTTTTATTCTCTCCATTTCATCTGAGAGGGGACAGGAAAGAACAATGCTAGAGAGCAGTTTCATTTTTGCAGAGTAGACTGAACACAGGCTCTGAATAAAAGTTTGGAGAGGGTTTATTGGAGTAATATTCAAAATATAGTACTTCTTACCTAAACAGACTATTGAGCTTTACAATTGTCAAAGCTACACAGAATGATTTCTATGTACTCAACTGAATTTTTTCTGTCTCATTGCATATCTGCTGTTGCCTGAAATACAATTATGTTCACAGACTAAGACTTAATTTTGACTGTATTTTATATAAAACAGATTATATAAAACTGGGATTATCACTTTAACCTTACCGAGACTGACAGCAATGTTGGCTTCACTATCAGCTTCTTATAATATTACTGTTGGTGCTAAATTTGAAAATGGAGGGCTGAAACCAAAAATTGTGAGGCTGAGAGTAGCTGGGAATCTCTGGACATAAGAACAGCCAACCCAACTCCAGATTCAAATCAGGAAAAAGTAATGGCAAATTCTTTCTTTATTGATGTTAAAGCAGGGGTCCCCAACCCCTGGTTTGTGGACCCATACTGGTCCCTGATCGGTTGGGAACTGGGCAACGCAAGCATTGGCTGTGTGCACAAAGCTTCATTTGCACATGCCAGGGATCTAAGTTGAGCACATGAAACCATCCCCCCCCACCGATTTCCACCCACTGCCACTGCTATTGGTCCATGGAGCCCGAAAGGTTGGTGACCACTGTGTTAAAATATATAGACATCGCTAAAACATTTGTTTGGGTGCCAGACGAATAGATTCCCTGGTCAAAGATATGTCTTGTTTTACTGTAGAAGAATGCTAGGCTTTCCTAAGGAAATCTGAAGATGATGACTTGATCAAATCTGTCAAGAAGTCTAAACACTTCTTTACTTACTTATTGTGCCATTATTGGAAAAGGAGCTCCTTGTTTTAAACAATATATGCCATTAGAACATAGAATATGAAAAGCATAAACTGGGGAAAACCTAAAATTGCAGAAGAAGGAGGAGGAGGAGGAGGAGGAGGTGGTGGTGGTGGTGGTGGTTATATTGGACATTTTAGAAATAAGTGAAGATAAATAAACTTGCAAGGCTACTGAAATCAAACAATTATATGATGTTCTATTCAGAATTGGAGAGTATACAAAGGAAGCAGTCATAGTAAAAAAAAAAGATGGGAACCCAGTGAGCTTTCAAGATTCTATTATTATAGCCTTTATCACTAAAGTATTTCTTGTGTCTGGCTATTTCCTGACTTGCCTTATCTCAAAGGGCTGGCACCTACAGAGCTTAGAAAGGATTTTTTTTTCCCTACAGGCAGTGATTTATTATTATTTATTCAATTTATATATGCTAACCATCTCATTGACAAGTGACTCCGAGTGGCTTACAACATTATAAAAGTAAGTACAAAATGTTAAAACATTAAATATGAAAATAAACAGAGATTAAATAAAACCCAAAATAAATGGAATACCCCAATCATGTCCCCAAACCAAATGGCAGAATAAAATCTTGAGGCTTTTTTGGAAGGCCAAGACAGTGGAGGTGGATCTCATCTTGAGGGGTATTTGTTTTCCCATTAATTTATTAATGTCTGATTTATCTTTATTAAACAATTATATTTGATGGTGAGGAGGAAGAGGAAGAAAAGAAAAATTTCCACTTGCTGCTCTTATGTCCTTGCCTTGGATAATTGCCGTCTCACAGAGCTTTTGAGAAACAACTGAGCAGTAGCTTCTTCCAGTGCATTCAAAGTTGAACAAGGGAGCTTTTTTCTCCTTTGTCTTTAAAATGTTATTTTGGATTTCTTATTTGAAGTAGCTAGGATTGCAGGTTGAATCTGGTTGAAGTTTCATTACAAAAACATATCCCAAATGATTTAAAACAGATGTATTTGTGCACCTTGTACACATTTTGGTATGTCTTTAAATATTGCACGCATCCCAAATTCTTGGAATTTAAAAGGACAGGAGTCAATGTTAATTAAATATATTAATTAAATTCAGTAGCCAGACATAGAGTGAGAAAATAGCTGAACCTAAAGCTGTCTATGTTGACACCATCAAAGTGTGCTAAGTCTGGGAACGAGACAGGATCATGAAGAGATTATTAACTGGCCAGAGATGGAATTTCAGCCTAAGGCATGTGTGGCCTTTTAAAGTCTCCAGGTGTTTATTTCATCAGTCTTGAATACAGAATTTAGGAGTTGGAAATACAAGGTAAATTCATGAAGAAATTGGCTACACAGATGTAAGCTTCCAAAAGTTATTTTATTAAAGCAGAAATAAGCAAGAACTGGTTGAATATAGCCTTCAAGACCATTATCATTGTATCCAAATTCTGCCACTAGAATACACAATAGAAAATAATGCAAAAATGGCGTAAGCTTTTGCATAGGTTTCATAGTAATAATAACCACCATGCAACCCCTTCCCAATGTGCAATCTGCCTGAAATGTAAATGTAAGCATGTCACACCATCACAACATTGTAACACTGCACCATAACCTCTTGCTATCATTCTTCCCAAAAATTAAAATGCAACCAATGAAAAGTTGTCATCTCTGCTATAAAATAGATCAGTGTTTCTCAACCTTGACAATTTTAAGGCATGTGGACTTCAACTCCCAGAATTCCACAGCCAGCATTGCTGGCTGTGGAATTCTGGGAGTTGAAGTCCACATGCCTTAAAATTGTCAAGGTTGAGAAACACTGAAATAGATAGTGGAGATCCGTATTCTCATCTCAAACTGAAGCTATCAATGAACCAAATTAAAAGATAGTTGCATATCTTACTGCTGTACAGGGAAATGATGTCCCATGTCTTTTTATAAGTTCTCATTCAGTTTGTTGACAATAAAGTCTTTCAAAGGAGTTTTGAAGACATTCTTATGGGTGGATTGTGACATGCATGAATGTGTTGTCTTTTCTGTATTCTTTCAAGAAACCTACAAGTTAATTGTTAAATTCCAAAACATTATGGAGAAACACTGTTCACAGTTTATATACTTTGTTTATGTATAGAGATCCTCCCATTTCTTTCTCATATGCTACCATACTCTATCTACCTCTTTTGAAAACAAAGGATCTGTGACTATAGGTAATTTGGATAAAAAATGTGAGACAATCCAATTCCTTTGCTTTCCCTAACATGGGCCTAGTAAGTCAAGTCAACCTGTATGTTTTTTCAAATGGGTATGGGAAGAGAAACTTCAATTGAGGTAAGGTGTGATTAACTGCCCCAAAAGTAAACATACTGTAAACTACTGTATGTAAATCCTTGTTTGGGATGAGCAGCGTATAAACTGTAGCAAGCAAACAAATAAATAACTCAAATTCTTAATTCAGTCTGTGATCCTAATAGAAACAAGCAATTATGATACTGAACCAATCCAAAGTGATGCAAAAATCTGAGCAAGGGACTTATTGCTGAAACTCTTAGCCATAACATAGTCCCATCCCTATTTGTTTATTTATTTAAAACGTTTATATGAAATATGGGAGAGGTGTTTGACCCTCTTTAAAGTAACTTACATCATACACTAAAGAATCAGTGAAATACTGAAAACAACAACAGTTAAATAGTCCTTGTAGCATTCTTACTATTTTATTTGCTTGGGTTTCCCCCCCTTTAATTTAAAAGTATTTATTTATTTGACTTACTTGCCATCCATCTCACCTCACCTCACCCATCTCACCTATATGTTTTCCTTCAAAACAAAAGTTTTCTTAGTGTGGTTTTTAAACCTTTTAAAGTCACAATTAAATGTTTCAATTAAAGAAAACACAGCTCTTTTAAGATATCAATTGCTTAGAAGCATAAAAATGTGTCAAAAATGCCACACTATAGTATGAATCTAAACTTATCATGATAAAGCCTGAGAAAATGAAAGTGTCTTAGTTTTACACTTAACAGAAAACAAAGTAGATTCCAGGCAAACTATTGTGGGGCATATATTATTGAGAACAGGGCCACCACTGAAAAGATCTACTCTTTATATCTCTACATAGGAGACATTCAGAACAGGACCACTGAAGACAATATTAGGACATGAAACAGAGAATTAAAAAGAAGGAATAACAGTTTTAATCTGCTTACTTACCATTCTGTTCCTGAAGTTTCTGAAATCATCCTCTAAGATACATTTGATCATATCTGGCTCAGATACCACTATATACATTCGTCGACCAATGTAATACCTGTATTCATTTACAAATGAACAGAAGAACATTCCATTAGTGACTAAAGTAAGCAGGCAGTAGATATAAGGACTTTGGTGAAACAGAAACACTAACTATGGAGGGAAGTCACAAGCGTACACTTTCAAATATTATAAGCTGATAAAATGTAAAAAGGATTTGTTCAATATTTGTCCAAAGTTTGCTGGTCACTACAAGTATAATGTAGTAAAGAATCTAGTTTGACCTTAAGAAAAGCAATTTCATTCCTAATTTTTTTTACATGGAGTTGTACATCAATTTCTGGAAGAAAGATTTAGCGGGAGAGATAGACAACAGAGTCTCTATTCTCCCTATTCCAGGAAAGCTAAATAAAATATCAATTAGCATTTTTGCTATGTCCTCAATACAGCCACAATTGCAAAGTTTCCATGCCACACTAAAGCATGATGTAATTTGTTTCTTTTTGACTTAGCATGCTGTGAGAACCTTGTGAACTGTAATATATTCAAGCAATCTTAGATTTATACACAGGATTTAATCTAAGAAGTGTGCTGCTTATTTAGATTTTATAAATAAAGGTCTACCAACAGAGTTTATAGCATAGTTCACCTTAATGTCAGTCATACTACAAACATTATTGAATAAACAAGTAGCCTACATAGTGCATAACCCAAATTCTTACAAGAATACATGCAGCTTCTATGTAACTTCCTCCTTCCAACCGTAATCTCACACTTCATCAGAGGGACAAAGTTAACCATTTGAAAGACACAATGTTCTTGACAGAAACCTGAATAGCACATGCCATAATTATTTCAAAATATATAAGCAAGGGGATGTTTGATAACAGGTCTACCTGATCACCTATAATGAGGTTAACTGTAGCACTTTCTTGTGCCATGATGATGAATTCAGTAACTTTAGGGAAAGAGGCTGACAAAAAACAGCAAAGAGAAATCTTACCAAAACACAAATGAATTTTAAAATAGGGTGAGGGAAATTGAGCAAAATGCCTTTTATGCAAAGATGCCTTAATTGAGCCAATCTGCAATCAGGAAAAAATGTATGAAGAAAAAGTGAAATATAAAACAACCTACTACTTCCTTTCATCTCCAGCAGTAGCTCTTACCTCAAACACTTTGCTCTATTTTTTTCCACTAGCATATTTGCAGTATATTTCACTCAGCCTTAATTGGTAAATAAAAGATGTTGAGGCATGGAAACGACTGGGGGGATGCACTGGAGCACTCAGATGGAGGACTGATGGTTTTGGCTTTTAGAGATTACTAAGTACAACCTTATCATAGGTAAACATCACAAATATTTTTCCTATAATTCAAAGTAATTTCCTTTCAAATTCTTATTCAGATCGTTTCAAAGGGATTTGCAAACTGTGCTCAAAAGGACATGGTGTATAAGTTTTAATGGGTATATCCCATTTAGGCAATGGGAAGAGAACATTTGTCTCCTGCACTCCTCAAGTAAAACACCATTTTATTTCCCTTCATTTCTAATGTGTTTATGTAGTAATATTTATCGAGTTCCACATTGCCTTTCCTCTGTGGAATGCATGCATATATTTCCCTATTTCATCAACCAACAATTTCATGGTGTTGGCCAGAGTAACCAGTGATGTGTGCTGCCCCGTTCCCCTCACACACACATGCAAGTACAGCAAGAGTTCTTGTTTATTCAACTCCCCCTCACCTAAAAAGGTTCTCAGAAAGCACCACCCGTTGCACGGGTTCAGATTCTGAACTTAGCAGGGCAAGAGTCAGTAGGTAACCAAGTCCCACAGGCATACACAAAGTCCTAGAAAGCAGCCCACAAGTCGAACGGGTCAGGATATATGGCATGACCACACAAGGCATGGAACTGGGCACATTGCTCCAGCAATGCTCAAGTCCTCAGGGTGGGATTAAGTAGGCAATGCTGGTACAGAACTTCAAGAGAGGCAAAGTTGCCTTCTCACGAATAGTCTAGTTGACCGGCGTTATGCCTGTCTCCTCTCTGCTCTACATGGCCTTGGAGGTGGGACTCCACCTCCTCCTCTTTGTTAATGGGCAGCAGTTGCTCTCGGTCCTCGCCTGGAGCCTCCTCACCAACTTGCTACAGTGTGGCTCACTTCACTTAGCCTCAGACTGTCTCTCCTCTGATCAACCAAGCTGAGGCTGCTCTGTAGGCTAGCACTCTCCAAGCCCCAACGGAGGCTATGACTCAACTCCACTGCTGACTCCTCCTCCTCCTCCTCCTCCTCCTCCTCCTCCAAAATCGTATCTAGAGAGGGCTCGGGCAGGGTGGATCCATGCTGTGATTATAACAGTGTCCAGTTACACATTGGGTTAAAAATGCAGCATGCAGCTAATACTTTCTTCACTTTTTTATTTTGAAGCTTTTTTATTCTAAAATTGAAGGAGACAGCTGACCACTCTTTAGTTTTTTACTCTGAAATAAACTAGCAAAACTGAAAATCAGACCGGGAGTCCTGTGAGTTAAATTTCCTCATTAATGCACAGTATAAGGTAGAAAACAGGAAGAACTAGAAATCTTCACACAGAAAAGCAAATATGACCTGTAATAGCTATTATAGAAGACTTGCAGAATGGGAATTAAGATTGAAAAGAGGAAAATACAAGTGCCTTCTTGTAGTATCTTCTACTTGTTCCAAAGAAACAGAAAAGGGGAATCAAAATGACTTTGTATGAAAAAAAAAGAATCCAATACGCGTGCGAAGAAATTCTTGTCCTTGAATAAAAGCCTATTGAAAGTATATAGATAAGGTTAAAACCAGTAAGAAACCAAAGTTTTGCCATTGTGGGAGTTTACTACAGGCCATCTACTAGATACAGGAAGTTAACAATGCCTTTTTAAAGTTCTCAAGAGGGCAGATTAGAACGGTAATTGAAGACTTCAGCTACCATGACATTTGCTAGAAAACTCATTTAGGTGTGGGAAATAGAGCAGAATTCCGATATGTTATAAATTTCATCTTTCAGAAAATTCATTTTTTTCAGAAAAGGGAAGAAATACAGAGGTCAACTTTTCCTGACCTAATCCTGACTAACAGAGAGAAATTGGTCAATGGCCTGAAGGTGTAAGGCAGCTTTACAGAAAGTGACCACCTCATGTTTGAATGAGAAGTATATAAGGAATGAAAGATGGGAGAAGTCAGTCAGGTACTTTGGATTTCAGGAAAGCTATTTTTAATTGATTCAGGAAAGTGGGCAGCTAATTATGGGATGAAATCCTCAAATAAATTGAAAAGGAGCAGAAATCATGAAAAATTAGATTCTAAAAGCACAGATATAAACAATCTCCATGAGAAGGAAGAATTGGAAAAGTTTAAAAAGCCAGTATGAATGAATTGTGAGTTCTCTTATAATCCAATAAACAAACAAAAAAAAAAAGTTGTATAAAAACAGAAGCATGGGCAGATAACTAATAAGGCATATAGTAACCAGAGTCATTAGATATGGAATTAGAAAAGTTAAAGGTCAAATGAAGCCACCGAGGACCATAAAATATAATAAAAAGGATTTATTTTGTATATCCAACACAAGAGTCTACAAGGTCATTGGTTTGTTGTGAAAGAAGAATAACTCAAGGGCCTACAGCTAAGATTTTTTAATGTTTATAGAATACTAAAGATATTAGAGAAGGTGTTAGAACAGATTGTCAAGCAGCACATATTCAACCATCAGAACAAAATCTATTTTGAACAAGAAACAGAGCAAAGAATGTCATGGATGCTTAGATCTCAGTAATATTTTGAGTCTCTCTTGGTGTCCTTGCAGAAAAGATGGATAAATGTGGGCTACATGATACTTCAATTCATTGGATTTGCAACTGGTGGAAAAGCTTCACACAAAGTTTGCTCATAAATGGTTTAACATTGTCCTGGAAGAATGTACTGAGAGGGGGGACTCCATATTTAAGCCTGAGCCATTCAACAACTCTATAAATGATCTGGAGAATGGAAGGGTAGAGCTGGTTATCATATATATGAATGATACCACAATAGCAGGATTGGCTAACTCCTTAGAGGACAAAGCACTGGCCAGATGCATCAGGATAATAGTCTATATCAAGTATATCATTATGAATCTGGATAGGCAAATGAAATATCTAGGCACAGTTTTGGGTAGACTTTGTTTGGAAGCACCATGTGTGTAATGGATGTAAGAGTATTTAGTGAACCACCAGCTCAACATGGGCAGGTAGCTGATGCAGCAGCTAAAAAGCCCAATGCAATGTTGGGTTCCCTGAAGAGAACAGTATGTACAATTGTACATGTTTAACTTGCAAAGGATTAAACTAAATGGAGGCATAATTCTAAAAGACTTTTGTCATGTGCAAGGACAGATGTGTTCTCTATTGAAACAGAGAGCAGGCAAAAACTTGTGGATTCAAAATAAAGGAAAGAAGGTTTAAGCTGAAGATTAGGAGGAATTCCTGATATTAATAGCTATTACACGGCGGAACATGAATGGACACACACTCCTCCTACTAGAGTTTTCCAACAAAGGCTATTGCATTAAAATAATAGATCCCTGCACTAAGCAAAGAAATGGACTAAATGTTTTAAAATGTCCCTTTCAACTCATACATTCTCTAAGAAAAGATATTGCCAGAAATGAAAGCTTCTTAGAAAACACTCTTTCTACTATGAAGGTGAGATTTTTTTTTTAAAAAAAGTAAAACTTGATGGAGGAAGAGAAGGGAAGGCATTTTGATTTATCATCAATCTATCTCCAATCCAGATGATAATTCCACAATATAAAAACTGAAGCAAACATACCATTCATTCCACATACAAAGTGCAAATTAAAACTTCACAGAATCTGAAACCCAAGTTTCACCAGTTCTAACCTTTAGGACACATTTGTGTTTATTTCTAGTTCCTGGAAGAATACATAAATGGCCATGAGACCAATGGCTTGCAACATAGCAAGAATTAGGAAAATGGACAAGCAGTAATACTGAACATAGTTCATTAAGCAGAAATTGACAGGAATATA